TCTAAATGAAAGCAAGCAAGCAAGCAAGAAAGTCTAAGAAAGCCATGGTAGAGGGGTGGTCTCTGTGTGGTAAGTGGAAGTAGGGATGGCCCCAGGGCAGTGTTGCCTTGGAACTTTCTGGAGTGATAGGAATGCCTTAAATTTAGCATAGGGTGATGATGAATACAATTATTATACTAATCCAGGAATACAATTAAGAGCTGGACACTTTATTGTATGTAAACCATATATAAAGTGACTGGCAAATTAGCTAAAGTTGATTGATTCAGAATACCTTGTTTGTTTAAAGGACTGAATGCACTGACTGGGGGTCTATTTTGCAAATGGAAAAAAGCTTTCCAGGCTATAAGTACACATGGGAAGTATTGTACAACGTACATGTTTAGCAGGGTGTGGTGGCACATGCGTTGGAGTCCCAGCCCTCAGGAGGCGGAGACAGGAGGGTTGTGAGTTTGAGGCCAGCATGGTTACTTTAGAGAGAATATGTCTCAAAGAAAAGAAGAGAAAGGAGAAGAAGAGAGAAGAAAACGTAGTTTATTTTTCAGTATTGCAGAGGTGAATGAATTTTCAATTGGGAAGTTAGGACGTAACCAAACTTGTTAGTGGTTCTGAAGGAGATAATGTATTTTGTGGCATGTAACTGGAAAACAAGAATAAAAAGCTTTGCTGCAAAAACAGTAGCTCAAAGTAGTTATTGTTTGTGGATTCTGGCCCCTTGGTCATCATGTGTAAAGCACATACTTTACTTGGAACTGTATCTTTAAAAAGGCTGGAATTAGTTTGTTTTTAAACCTTACGTGAGCTGGTGAGATAGCTCAGTAGACTAAGTGCCTGCCTGCCCAAATGCAGGGACCAGGTTCGATCTCCAGCACCACAGGCCACGTTGGCCCTCCCTAGACCTGGGGAGGCTGAAAACAGGAGGATCACTACATAGTGACACCCTGTACCAAATACATTAAATAAATACATACATACATACATACATAAAACTTTACATAACCTGTTTTTTTATTTTTGCATTTTAAATGCACCAAGAAACTCGTCATTTGAAAATAATAGGTCTGATCTCAAAATTGGGCCACATTTCTGTGTCATTTTTTTATTTATATGTCTAGGTAAAGGAAATACTATGTAGTAGGTCATTCAAATCAATGATCTTTAGTCTGGTTTTTCAAAGACAATTTACATCAGTGCTTCTCAAACCTCTTAAATTGCATGTATAAGTCACAGGGGGCTATGGGGGCTGCGAACAATGCAGATGTGACTAAGTGAGTGTGTCGTAGGAGGTCTGAGTGTCAAAATTCCAAACAAGGACCTGGAAGATGCCTCTCCTCCAGGACCTGCATTTGAAGCAGCAAGGTAACTCAGTTGTGTCCCAAATTTTCTGATCAAGATTATGAGGCCACAGAGCAACGTGATCAATGATGTAGAGTGTGCCTAAGGAGAGTCACCTGGAGAGAAAACATTCTCTCAGGCTTTCACAGGCAGCACATTGGCCAAGCAGTGGCTATGACTCATCCACATGGCTGACACTGACAAAGGATCTGCAAACTGCAGTACAGGGTTACAGGATAAATCCTGAGGGTACTTGGACTGACCTTATTAGATACAAAAGTTACATCTCTTGTTATACAGGTCTTACTTTATCTTGGTCTTAACCATCCAGCAGAAAAGTATAAAAGCAAGGTATATAAAGTAAAGCCATATTAATATGCTGAGCTGTGAAAGGCTCAAGTCAACAACTTCTGTGGATAACCCACTACTATTGTGGACTGCTGGACTGTGTTAGATTGTTTTGCTGAATTCACATGCCTATAGTATTTAGATGCCAGTGGGATACCCATTTCTGACAGGACAAAATAAAAAAAGGCGATACAAAGGAAGGACCATTTTGTATCTGTATATGCAGAATAGTTAGGGTAGATATACAGCTACTTTCTCTTAATTCAATGAGAAGAAAGATGTATACTAATAGTTTTTGGACAGGATATTCTGTCTGCATCTTGTACTACAGATAACCACTAAGAAGATAACAATGTACAATGTATTAATTATTGAAACTGTCCTATTCAGTTTTGAAACTGTCTCATTGATATTTGTTTCTCAATAAAATAACTAGGAAAAAAAATGAAGCAGCAAGGCCATGGGTCCTGTGACTGATGCAATTTGGCCTTTGACAGTCTCAGTCAGCTAGGTTTTGGAGAGAGTTGAATTTAACGGCAACCAAAGTGAACAAGTTTATTCTTCCATGAAGGCAGGTAGTTAACAGAGGTAGGCTGTGTGCCCCGTGGACCTGGCAGCTTCCCATTAGGGACTCTGCACCAGTCTCTGCTTCACATCCACCAAGCAGGTTTCATTCAGGCTGGCTGCTGGGGTTCCTCATTCCAAAAGGGAGAGGGCAGGAAAAGGGCTGCTTCTCACCCACACCCCACTAACAATGGCTTCCATGCCAGAGATCGGAATGCAATCACCTGCCAACCCGGCTGCAAGGGATCTGGGGAGTAACATGTTTTGGCTCAGACTGCTGCTGCCCAGATGAAATCAGCGTTGTTTAGTGAGGAAGCAGCAGGGAATACTTTGTGACCACAAAGCAT